CAATTTATATTCAATTGAAGCATGGTCAGAAAATTGTGTATACAAGTAGTAAAAAGTTCCTTCTTCCAAATCACCCTTACCGTAGAATAAAAACACATTTAATGAAAGTCGTCTGGATGAAGTTGTTTCAAAACCCTGCAATGGTGAAGAAGTATAAAACTAAGTGAAAAATATTGAAATTGTGTTTAGAAAACATCAAATGAAGACCATTGAGAAAAAAACATTTGGAAGAAACGATCAATATTTTTAATCTTCCATATTAGTGTAAACTAGATGTACAACAATGTATAACGTGATGCATGTTGAAAAAAATGCATGTGATACTGTCATCAAGACTTTACTAAATATAAATGTAAAAACACAAGAAGATTTGGCTTACATAGGCATTCATTCTGAGTTACATCCACGATAAATTGGAAAACTCACTTAACTTTCCCAACTGTCACACTTTTTCTAAAAAGGAAAAGCAAAATTTTTGTAAGTGTTTAAATAGTTTGAAGGTTCCACAAGGTTACTCTTCAAATATTAGTAGTCTTGTTTTTATGAAAGATTCAAAGTTAGTTGGTTTAAAGTCCTACAGTTATCATGTGTTGATGCAAGAACTTTTACTAATAGTTATTTGAGTCATCTTACCTGCTTCTATTAGAGGTATACTAACATGTTTAAGTATGTTTTTTACTATCATTTGCAAGAAATTTATTGACCTTGGAGTGTTAGATGATTTGGAAAATGAGGCTATCAAACTATTCTCCTTTTTGCAAACTTATCCCTAAGAACCTTCATTTTCTATGCATCATTCAACACTGAGTAATTGTTACACATTCAAAGTTGTGCATTCTCTTCATCTCGCTTTAGGGTTCGCTTAAGCATTTGTGTTCATGGGTTGAAAAACCAATTGAGAAATTGTTGACCAAATGAGCACACAAAGTGAATTTTAAACATCTATGGATACATTTAGCTTGCATTCACATTTAAACTTAGGCTTAATGATTGTTGACTAAAAAAGGTCCCATTTTTATTCATATGTTCATCTCTTCACCTCAGAACCCTTGGGCCTGAGTAGAACCAACCATAACCTACACCTCAGAAATCACCTTCACCACCACCACCAAGAAGTGCTCCCACTCTAGAAGGAGGAGTGGAAAAACATGATAGACTTCAGTTCATGACGAGGTCCAAGCAGGCCAAGTTCGCTGAATTGGAAGAAAGGACACTTTTGCCTGAAAGGAGAGTTAAACTTCTAGTGGGGGGAATATGAAGAATTCACAAGGATGATAAAGAATAGACATTGGTAGAAACTAACTGAAGCAAAGCCTAAAGACAATGAACTCAATATATGTGAGTTATAATACACCCATGCCTACCCACCAAAAAGGGCTAATGAGAAAGGAAGATTCTTAGGTAAAAGGAAAAAGAATTAACTATGACAAAGAAACCCTAAGAGAATTTTTGGAACTGTCAGGAAATATGTCAAAAAAAGAGAGGGAGGTATTTAAGGATTTGACGAGGGGAGTGACACCTAAATAATTAGCTGCAGAATTCTGTATGGTTGGGAAAAGTTTTAAGCTAGGAAGGTCTAGAAAACCTCAGCAGATTCCCAAGGCCAACATGAAGACAAAAACTTATATTATTTAGGTTAACATTTTGTTTACTAATGTAACTCCAAATTCACACGTATCTAGCTTGATCATTGCCCAAACTTAACTCATATACTATATATCATGAGGGGACATCTGCTAGATGCAACAGATATCATAACAAATGAGATTTTTAATGTTTTCCTCTCTGAACCAACATTAGCAAGGACTGCAAAGCCACTACCTTTTCTAAGCCTAATCACTAGCTTTGCAGGTCTCAAGGAGCTATGATTCCTAACCACCCGATGTGAAACCTAAGGAGACCAATCACAAAAGCTTCCATTCTGGCTAACTACACTATGAACTGGAAAATGTGCAAGGACCAGTGCTTGAGCCTCAACCTACTACCAGAGTTAGGCACCGGTATCAGTAGTTTAAATAGCAACAAGAAACCCTCAATTCCCTCACAGCAAGAATTTCATACATGCAACAATGATTGGTTGCCACTCAAAGGCGCACACTCTCATTCATGAAATTCTCTAAACCTTCACACAACAACAACAAAGGAATCAGCCCCTACATTGCATCACCCCAGAAGAATTTATACACCAAATGGCATGGCACGGGGTAAGTCCATTTCAAAGGGATAATTTTAGTGCAACTACAGCGGCAGAAGACAATCACAACCACATCAGTCTCAAAAGAACCCAACACCAATACCTCAGCAACAACCACAACAGCCACAACAGCCACAACAGAACACTTCCTCAAAGCACACTCAATTTGTTGCCACTACTCTAGAAAAAGAAATTCCTTCAAATGAAGGAAATGCAAGAAGATCTAAAGGAAGCAAGCTTTAGTCCTTTTAACCAGAGGACTTCTTTGACTTTGAAGGATCAACATCTGGATCTCCTGAGGAGGGAGGAGATAAATGAAGATGCCTCACCATAAAAATAAAGTTCTTTTAAATTTGTTGCACCTTTATATTTCAGCACTTTAAATATATGCCTTAGTTTAGTAGTTTTCCTTTTGTTGATGCATGCTTTTTTATTAGATAATTTATTTATAAATATCTTTTGGGAAAAGCATGTAAACTTTTTGCAAAATTGGTTAGCAAAATAAGTAGGACTAAACTCTCTTGATCTAGAATTGAATGTGAACTTATGAGTGTAAGGAAGACGGATGAGTAACTCTGAATAAGTAAGAACATATGCTTTGTGTAGGCATTGCACAATTGAACATTGACATAGGAAGAAAACCCAGCTAATGAGAATTAAGAACCAAACAATGTGAGATAGCTGAGCGAAGCACCTTATATTAAGCCAAATCACAAATTTTGTGTTGATTGTTTATCTTTGACCTACACACTAGGAGGTGAGGAAAGAATCAAGGTAGCTTTTGATTTTATTTGATCTAGAGTTAAACAACCACCATGAACATGAATGAAATATCTTGTTTGAGCCATGAACCTTACAACACACACCTCATCTTGAAAAATGTTGATATCATACCATCCTCACTAATGAGAAAGTTGGAACAACATGTGTGCATTAAAAGGAAACTAAATAAGGCAAGGATAGTCTATGAGAAGCATAAAATTATAGAAATCCAGTTAAAAAAGGAAGGGGTGAAAAAGTTAACATACCAAAAAAGAGAGAATTAACAAACAAAGAATTACAAATGATATGGAAATTTTCCCAAGATGTAAAGAGTTGACCAAACAAAAAGAAAGAAAAAAGAGGGATAGTGATATCTTAATCACTTCCTGCATGTGCATGTTGTGACATATTTTCTTTTTAGTGAGTTTTTCTTGTATTGAGAAACCAATTTCCTTGACAGTCGCTCCACATTACAAGCCATGAAAAACTTTTAGTGATCCTTACCAAGTTTTGTATAGTCAAATGATTTAACATGAGATAACAGTTTTGTGCTAAACTTGCAAAGGTTTCTGAGAGTGAAAACACTTCATACTATGAGGTAGAGCTGTCAAAACGGGTCATCCGGCCCGATGCACCACGGGTTGGTCACTTAGTGAGCCAACTCATCCCGACTTATTTATTAGCGAGCCAGAAAAATTCGAATCCGGCCCGACCCACCACGGATGGGTGGGTAAACGGGTTGGCTCACTGGCTCACTTATAATTACAATTTTTTTAAATAAAAAAATTACAAACTTTCTATAATTCAAATCTAAACAAATTTCACTCCCAAATTTCACTCCCAACGTGGGTGTTTAATTAATTTTGAAAATAAGGAACTTAAATAATTTTTTCAAGCAAAAAATAATAATAAATATTTTTTTATAAAATAAAATTAGGTAGGTGAGTTGGTGGGCCAACCCGGTCCACCACGGGTTCAACCAGCATGAGTCAGATTTAAATGAGTCGGGTTGAAATCTGACCCACTTAAAAAAAATATAATTTTTTCAAACCCAATCCAACCCGAACTCGTGGTGAACCGGATTAGCCCGCAGACTGTGACCCATTTTGATAGCTCTATTGCGAGGATCATTTGAAATTTTGATTTAGATAAATGAACGGGGAACATGTGTTGTTTTAATTTGTATAATTGCATTACACTTAGTGTCTAAATGATAAAGGGAAATTTATCTTATACTATGATTACAATTCTTGTCACATATTTTTTCTTAAAAGTCTCAAGTCACAACTTCTAAATCCAACCAATTACAATAACTGATCTTTTGTAAAATCCAATTGCTTTGTTGTCAACAAAGGACCTAAAGTGGAGATTGTGATAAGTGTCTATTTCACTCATAATTCATATCCATTTAAGAACTTATCTTGTTTTATTCATATCTTTCTCTATTTATTATATTTTTAGAGTTTATAATAAAATTTTGAATAAATATATAATAAAAATTCATATTTACTTTAGAGCACTATAATATATAAGTCATTCTTTAATGAATATTTATATTTCAAAAATATAAAAATTATATACGATAAAGCTTATTAATATATATTAGGAGTGTGTCAGTTATTACACACCTTGTGATATTTTTTTTTTATACAGAAAATGTATTGCAATTATTATTATTAATTTGAAATAAAATCACTAAGAGTAATTTAGTATAGAATGAAAACATTGTATATGTAGAAAGTTTTTACAATTTATGTATGAAACCATAGATAATATTGTAGAGATTTAATTGTGTGGATGATAACTATAGAAAAAGTCAAAACAACAACCAAAAATAAAATGAAGACACAAACTCATGTACGTGTTGATTAATTGACATATTAAGAACTATACGAATTATAACTATTACCAAAATAGAAATGACAAATATATCACACAAAAAAAAACATGTGGTTTATGCAACACTATATATAACTCAACATTCCAATCTCTAAACACACACAATTACATCCAAATTTTCTTATCCTTAGCTTAAAATAAAATTATGAAGAGTTTGATTCTCTTTAGCATAATTGTTGCTTGTGGTTTGGTTGAAAATGTTGTTTCATCAAACAATCAATTTCCCTATAGAACCATTATAAATTTTGGTGACTCTTTAAGTGATACAGGAAATTCTGCAACTAAGCAACCATTTAGTGCTAATAGTCCATACGGTTCAACATATTTTAAACATCCTGCAGGACGTATGTCAAATGGAAGATTGATAATAGATTTTATAGGTACTTATACCCTCTTTTCTATTCAAAAGATGACTTCAATGAAATTCATGCACAAGAAATAATATAACATAATATATGTTACCAGTCAGACACATTCTTACTAACATATGATCATTTTCGTTTTAGTCAAAGCATATGGGTTACCGTTCTTGCCAGCTTATCTAAATTTAACGAAAGGACAACACGTTAAGCAAGGAGTAAATTTTGCATTTTCTGGTGCAACTGCACTTGATAAAAGCTTTTTTGATAAAAGAGGACTCGATGTACCAGCAGCTGCTTATGCATTAAATACTCAACTTGATTGGTTTTATAAGATCAAACCCTCGCTTTGTACAGGCAAAGAAGGTTTGATCATATCTCCTTTCATAAAGTTTCTACATTGTTTCTCCATATAATTACTAACAATTTTATTTCCTTCTATGACAGACTGTGCTAATTTCTTTAAGAACTCATTGGTTCTAGTTGGTGAGATTGGTGGGAATGACATTAATGCAATTATCCCACATAAAAATCTTACAGAAATTCGAGAGTTTGTTCCACATATTATTCAAGCGATTACAAATATGACTTCTGTAAGTTGTATCAAATATATCTTAAATTAATTACAATAGTTTAATTAAACTTCATTTGAAATGTGATTGATTATAGTAACTTGACTTTGGTTTCTGTTTTTATTATGTAGACACTAATTGCAGAAGGAGCTGTTGAACTAGTGGTTCCAGGCAACTTTCCAATTGGGTGTAATACTTATGTTTTGAATGAGGTGAATAGTGATAAAAAGGAAGATTATGACGAATTTGGGTGTTTGAGAAATTACAATGCTGCCATCAAGTACTATAATGACCAACTCAAAACGGCTATAGACGAATTGAGACACAAGAACCCTCATGTTAACATAACATATTTTAATTATTATAGTGCAGCTAGACGTTTATATGAAAAACCAGAACAATATGGTATGTTGTGCTTTGATTTTCCTTTTCTTTAGATGAATAATAAATAGTTATACAAGGTTGTTGCTATAATTTTGCTATTAATTTATGTAATGCAGGCTTTAAGGGTAAACCTGACACCTTCAAAGCATGTTGTGGAAAGGGTGGAAGATACAATCTTAATGAAGTTTGTGGATTTGGTGATTCGGTAGTTTGTGAAGCACCTGTAAAACATATAAATTGGGATGGATTTCATTTCACTGAAGCAGGTTATAGATCTGTAGCACAAGGACTTCTTGAGGGTCCTTATGCTACTCCTCCTCTTAAAACTCCTCCATTCAAGATACCAAAGGAATGAAGATAGCACAAAGGAAACACTAATGAAGATTTGATTCTATCTTTTAGTATGCATATAATATAAGTCAAACAGAGGAAAAATGGTAGAACATTACTATTGTATTAGATAATAAAAGTCCTATAATATGATGGACATGTTTTGTTTTATTAAAGAAATAAATTGTTGTTTTTTGAAACTCTCATCTTAAATTATATTATTTTTCTTTTAAAAACACTTATTATGGCTAGTTGTTAAAATTTGATAACTTCATCAATGTACTTTAGATGGTTATGAATATTTGATTACCTCATTACAGTTTTCATTATGTGGTAGTTTTGTTTTACTGATTAATTGTGATTAGTTTTGTTTACATGGTTGTGAATATCTTTCAAATTCGTTTAACCAATTTGTTGTTTCTCATGTTATTTTTCATCAAACTTCATATGTTTATATATCTTAACAAAATGAGATGGTTGAACGTAAGAATAACACTAGTGTAGAAACAGTCTTTAATGTCACCCTTTAGACGTCTAACTCCTGAATATCCCACGTAAAAAATGATCGTGGCACTTCTGTAAATAAGTTAATCTTGTAGACGTCCGACCTGGCTGGTCCCCGACTACTGATGTCTCTATAAACGTCCGACCCCAATGTCGGACGCCTAATGACCTGATAGGTAGCTGAAAAGTTGCCCCGATCCATTGTTTTAGACGTCCGGACCCCCATGTCGGACGTTTGAGGTCCCTATAGAAGTTTGAGCCCCAATGTCGGACGCCTAATGACCTGACAGGAAGCTGAAAAGTTGCCCTGATCCATTGCTTTAGACGTCCGGGCCCCTATGTCGGACGTCTGAGGTCCCTATAGACGTCTGGGCCCCTATGTCGGACGTCTGATTACTTGACAGGTAGGTGAAAAGTTGTCATGTTCCATTGCTTTAGACGTCCGGGCCCCTATGTCGGACGTCTGATGTCCCTATAGACGTTCGGGCCCCATATATCAGACGTATATAGCCTCCGCCGAAATTAAATTTTAAATAGACATATACGTCCGGGCCCCATAAGTTGGACGTCTGATGTCTCTATAGACGTCAGATGGGAGAGGGCCCCAACGTCTAAGGTGTTTTATTACACTTTGCGCGAACTCGGGGCAGTTACGCGCACTATTCATCGTCTTCCTCCTCGTATTTTCTCTCTCGGGTTTGGATTTTCAAGTACGTTTTTTGTCTTTTAGACCGTTTAAACTTACTTTTATTCCGATTAAATTAGTCTTTGATGGATTATCTTCCATTTGAACCGATTAAAATGAGTTTTCGCTGTGTTTTTGTGCAGTTTTGCTCGTTTCCTTGGGTGGCGATTTCTTGCGTTTTGGGCAAGGTTTTTTGGAGTTTTCCACTCTTCCAATTCCTCCACTATGTTTGTAATCGGTTAAGAAGGTTAGCATTCTTGTTTAAAAGTTTTTGTCTATGCATGTTATGGCTTTTCGGTATACATGTTTTTGGCATTTGGATATGCATGTTATTAACTTTCGAATATGCATGTTATTAACCGTCGAATTTGCATGTTGTTGACTTTTGGATTTGCATGTTGTTGGCTTTTGGATATATACATGTTATTGACTTTTGTGTATGCATGTTATTGGTTTTTACGTATGCATGTTATTGGCTTTTGAATATGCATGTGATGAAGTTTTGTTGTGTTGTTATGATTGGTATGTTAGATTATTAGTATCTAATTTTGTGAAACTTAGTTCCCATTTGAAATTTAACACAAACGATTAATCTTTTAATCATTTGTGTTAAATTTTGAATTGTTCGATTTGACAGTTTGGAAAAATTATTTTTCATAATTTGCTATAACATGTATGTTGGAGTTTATGGATAAGATTGATAAAATTTCGGTTTAGATTATTTGTGTTGTTCTTCGGATGCATATTTGATTGTGCTCATCCCTGACCACTCTCATTTCGTGTATTTCGGAGACAATGCGAAATGTTGTCGAAATCTTATCAAATTTATCATGTTAAACGTCTTTGCATGTGTCTTAGCAAATTATGAAAAATAATTTTTCTGAATGGGTAGGACCTAACCTTGGGAGAGTTAAAAAATTGAAACTGACAAAGTATATTACGAACATAGTATGGATCGAAGCTGGATGAATGAACGTCGCATCAGTGAAGAATATGAGAAGGGTGTTTCAGAGTTCTTGCAATATGTTGAACAAAATGTTAAGTCTGTGAACGGGACATATTTTTGTCCTTGTGTTCGTTGTCTTAATCAAACACTCCAAGACTTAGACAATATGTGTGATCATTTATTCATGTTCGGCGTAATGAGAACTTATACCGCTTGAACTTGGCATGGAGAAGTACTAGACCAGCCTATCACGTCACGAGGAACAGATTATGTGGAAGAATGGATGAGTGATCATTTAGAGGACATGATACGTGATGTTGGTGAAGATAATTTTGGAAGAGCTAATTTGTATGATTCTCTTAAACATGATTCAGAGCAACCGTTGTTTCCAGGATGCCCCAACTTTACATGTCTGTCTGCAACTTTGAAGTTGTTTAGTGTAAAAGCAAGGAATGGATGGACTGATAAAAGTTTCAGAGAGTTGTTGGAGTTGTTGAAGGAGATGCTTCCAGAAAATAATACTCTACCCATTCATCATTATGAGGCCAAGAAAATATTATGTCCAATGGGACTCGAATATCAAAAGATACATGCTTGTCCTAATGATTGTGTTTTGTACATAAAGGAGTTTGCTTTGCTAAAGTCTTGTTCAACGTGTGGTTTATCCAGTTTTAAAAAGAAAAATGACAAAAACACTAATGATGAAGGTAATGATGGTGCACCTGCTAAGGTGATGTGGTATTTGCCTATAATACCTAGGTTCAAACGTATGTTCTCTGTTAAAGAAGATGCAAAGAACCTTAAATGGCACGCTGCCGGAAGAAAGTGCGATAATCTTCTTCGACACCCAACTGATTCATCACAATGGAAGAAGATGATGAAACATTTCCCGAATTTGGTACAGATCCAAGAAACTTAAGACTTGCACTTGAAACTGATGGTATGAATCCTTATGGGAACTTAAGTAGCAAACACAGTTCATGACCAGTTATGTTAATGATATACAATCTTTCTCCATTGTTGAAGAGAAAATATGTGATGTTGTCCGTGATGATATCGGGTCCTAGACAACCTAGAAATGACATTGATGTTTACTTGAAACCTTTAATTGATGATTTGAAAATGTTGTGGAAAGAAGGGATCGAAGTGTTCGATTCTGATGTTCAGGAATCTTTTCTTTTGTGTGCAATGTTGTTTTGCACTATAAATGATTTTCCAACATATGGAAACTTAAGCGGTTATAGTGTAAAAGGTCATTTTGCATGTCCCATTTGTGAAGAAAACACTAGTTACCTTCAGCTGAAGCATGGTCAAAAGACAGTATATACAAGACATTGAAAATTTCTTCCTTGTAATCATCCTTATCGTAGATTGAAAAAAGCATTTAATGGAAGTGCTGAGGATGAGGTTGTGTGCAGACCTCGCAATGGTCAAACACAATTTTTTGCTTTTCAAGTGTGGTTTTATTGCAAAAATAAATAACTTTTTTTTTTAAAAATACCCTTTGACGTCTATTAATGCAACATCGGACGTCCATAGACGTCAGTCAGTGTATATAGAGACATCCAATGAATTACAGAGGCCAAACTTGTTCCAGGGTCTTAGACGTTCGACCTGCACAAGTCGGACGTCTATATAGACGTCCGACTAAACAGGTCAGACGTCTATATAGACGTCTGACTTGTACAGGTCGGACGTCTATATAGACGTTCGACTTGTACAGGTCGGACGTTTATATAGAAGTCCGACTAAACACGTCGGATGTCCCATCAACGTAAAAAATCCAAAATAACGGACGTCTAAAATGATTTATGCACTAATGTAAATATTTTATTGATACAACTCACATCCTTTTAATTCATGATGAGATTCCTCAACGTTTTTAAGATGGTGTTATTTGTACTAGGTTATCTTATTAATAGTATCTTATATTCAATTTTAGATAACAAGATATATCTAATTATTTATTTATTACCTAAATAGCTTGTATTTTATTAATACATATTCGATTTTAGATAACAAAATATATCTAACAAATTATTTGTTTGTTATCTAAATGGTTTGAATATATTTGAATATATATATATATATATATATATATATAGGAGGACTATAATGATATTCTACAATTTCTTTAAAATTGTTATTGATTCCGGTATTAGATAATTTTTTACAAGTAAATATCTCATCAGCGAGCAAGTAAGAAACCATCGGAATTATCAACCCGACTTCTAAAAACCTTACTTTTCTTTTCATCTTGAAGCAATCTGTCTAAATTAATTAAAAACAATATGTTTATAAATATTTTCTCTATATATGTAATTTTATTTGAATTTATATTTTCGTAGTTTATAATCAAAAATCAAATTTTGAATAAATATATTATAAAAATTGATATTTACTCTAAAGTACAATTATATATTATTTATCAATTAATAAATATTTATATTTCAAAAATATAAAACTTATATGCGAGAAATCTTATTAATATATATTAGGAATGAGCATTGTGACATTTTTTATTAAAAATATATTATTATTATTATTATTATTATTATTATTATTATTATTATTATTATTATTATTGTTATTATTATTATTATTATTATTATTATGTGCATATAATAAGTCTCATAAAAAAAATGGTAGAACATTACTAGTGTATTATACAATAAAAATCCTATAATACAAAGGACATTTTGTTTCACTGGAGAAATAAATTGTTGTTTTCCTAAACTTCCATCCTTGTCATTGTTTTTCTTCTAAATAGACAGTTTATTAAAATTTGATTACTTCATTATTAGTTTCTAATTCAATTAAAAGGGCACCTAACTTTTACGTTGCACTAACAGTTATCCTTGAGTCTTCAAATTGCACAAGCAAGGAGCTGCTATTTCTGCCCCAGAATCAAAGTATGTAAGTGGTGGCGCTTCTCCACTTTATAAAAAGCTTGAAAAGCATATTTTACGTAAAGCATATTCCATCACACAAACTTTTCCCAAGAGAAAACAAAGCTATACAAGTCATTATACCTCACCAGTTTAATATCTTTTTCATACAAGATTAAAAGTTTTTTTATTTCAGAAATACATAGTTCCATATATATACATATAAACAAATTTTAAAATTATAAAATTGAAAATATTAAAATAGTTTTAAATAATTTAAAAAATTAAAAAAATGGTGGTTTAGTCTACCACCCACCTTTTGGTTGAGAGGGTTAGGATTTTAAACCCACTTTTCTAGGAGTGTGAGAAGTAAAGATAAATTATTTATTCTTCCCTTATATATATCCTTAAGTGGATCATTTGATGGATATTTGAGAAACAATCAATTGATAGTGAGGGTAGTTTTTTTTTCTACTACAACAAACTTTAATTTAATTTTAGTTTTATTTCTATTAAATGTGACATATTTATCATAACCTAGTCTCGAACATAAAACTAAAAAGAACTTGATAAAACCTAACATCCTTAATTAGATAAAGTCTAAAATATTAATTTTAAAAAATAACATTTTAATCTAGTTTAATCTCACAAAACTAAAATCTAATTTATAAAATAAATGTACACTTATTAATATATTATATACACTTACTAATATATTATAATTTTACTTTTTTTTTATAATCATTGTGGTTATTCAACAACTATTACATAAAGAGAAAAAAAATCTCCATATGTTATGAACTAATTTACATTATTTGTTGTCTCATCTATTTTTTCTAACACGAGATCATGATTCTATATTAATATATTTGAAAATTTTATCATTTCTCTTTTGAATCTTCCTTTATTCTATATTGACCGGCCCTTTACTTGATCTATCTAGAAGCTTCAATAATCAAGATTCCAGAGTAGCCACTGTTCGAGGCCAATGAAACCGTTTCTTTAACCATTTATGTGAGATATGATCATACGACTGTGCGAAAATCTCTCTTTTTTTTTTTTTTGTCTTACTATAAAATGTGATGACTATTAATATACAGCTAAGAAGTCATAGGAACAAGAGTGAGACATTTGGGTGTTGGGATTATTTTGAAGGGTAAAACATAAAATGCTCCTCGTCAAGCATGGGCCACCAGGACCATTTGAATAATCATTTGAGTATGTCACACGCAACACATTTGTTTGTACCAAGAAACATGTCCAAAAAAACTTAAATACACTCATTTCCCACATATTCATCTAATTATCTACTTGTATTCTTTTTCTAACTTCTTTAGTGTTTCTTTTAAGAAGATAGATTTGAGAGATGAATTGATGGATTTAGATGAATTAGAAAGTAAAATTTATATTATTTCTTTAAAGGATTTAGAAATAAAGATTAATGAATTTGAAATTGAAATTTGTGAATGATTTTATTAATGTAATAAAAAAATGAAAAAGAAATATTATAAAATTGTCTTTATTTAATAATAATCTAAAATAATTTTTGGATTAGTTAATTTTTTTTTTGTAAATAGTTGTTCATGAATAGTTTGAAATAATAAAAAAATTATTAATTATATTTGACATTGACACCGCAGAAACATATACATATAATAGTCATGAGATGTATTGACATAGAAAAAAAAATAATGCATTTTACAGATAAAAAATAAGAATTATACACGACCATTCACCAAAAAGACAATACACTAAAGACTTGTATTTGATTCACAAATCTCTTCTATTAAGATGAACTTTTCAACCGATCCACAAATCGATTGTCCGGAATACGAATAAGTTAATTAATCACAACAAATCCTTCTGTCGTTCTAATACATCTCTTCAAGCTAACATAACATTACTCTAATAAACTATAATATATAATCATATACTTTAAATATTTATAAAAGAGGTTTGATTCACCTATTCTTATTGAATTTGTTACTCTCAATTATAACTACAAGAGATGTGTTAAAAAAATGGCATATTTACGGATTATTACTTCTTCGAAAAATATGTGGTAAAATAAATGGAGATGGTTTCTTTAATAATAGTAAGCGATAATTTAATTTATGAAAGAAGGAGAATTATTGTGATTAGGTCATTACTTTGAATATTGTCTTTTATTGTGTTTGACTTTATAGAGAAAACGGACAGAAACAAAAGAAAATGAAAGAGAATTAATTAAGTTAAGAAAATATAAATAGATAAAAACTGCTTTGTCTTGTATTTATTTATAATGTTGAAAGATTATTTTAATTATATCTGTTATGGTCAACTTATGATTAATTCATAAAGTTTAGGAAGTTGTTTGTGAGTAAATAATAAATTATATCTAACAAGAGAAAATATATATGGAATTAAAAATGAAAAGACAAAATTATCCTTTAGAAGACTATGAAAGAATAATCTTCCTACCCGGCTGAGTTTGGGTGAGTTGACTAATATGAAGCTGTACATCAGGTAGATGTGAAAGACAGATAGGGACTATTTCCTCGTCTCAGTAATTAAATTACTTTACTTCTTGTTGTTAATTAACAATACCTTTTCACTTTCAGAATTTTCTGGTGGACAAAATAATTAATAGTGTAACTTTGGATAAAGTGAGACATGAAAAAGTTGTTAAATTCCATAAGTAGCCTCGAGGATATAGTAAGAATTTAAGAATTCTGAGATTACCGCAACGGTTGTTCGGAGTGTTTGGAAGACCGAGTCAGTGAATGGAAATTAGCAGAAGAGATAGATAAGTGAAGAGAGATTCCGAGATCCAGTCTAACAGCATGCGCAACAACCTCGCACACCAGAACTTCTTTCATTATAAAAATCCCAACCAACAACAATAAACAAATCCACTGCCGAACTACATGGGTGGCAATGGGAAGCACAGATGGAAAATCTCCTTCCACCGCTCCTCTTCCCAATCCTCCAAGCTCGACCCCAAGCTCCCTCCCAAGGAATTTACGTGCCCCATTTCCGGTTCCTTAATGTTCGACCCGGTTGTCGTCGCTTCGGGTCAAACCTTTGAACGTCTCGCCGTTCAAGTCTGTAAGGACCTCAACTTCTCCCCCAAACAAGAAGACGGCACCCGGCCCGATTTCTCAACGGTAATCCCTAACTTAGCCCTCAAAACCACAATCCTCAATTGGTGCGATAAATCACGCAGCCAACACCCGCGCGCACCCGATTACGCCTCCCTCGGGGGCCGCGTCAGGCAGGCAATGCTTCTTTCGGTGGGACAAAATCAACAGGAAGAACGACAAGAACGAATTAGGGTTTCCGAAACGGAGCTTCTCAACGCGGTCCCGGATAACCCTCCCGTCATTTTCTCCCACGCCGCCACTGAGTTAAGCCCCCGAGTCAACCACTTCAACTCGGGATCCTCCTCCGAGGAGTCGGTCATCATTCTGCCCAGTCCGGGAACGCCGTTACCGTTTACTGTTCGTCCAACCTGCTTCTCCTCCTCCTCCTCCTGCGAGATTGAAATTGAAAACCCTAGCGCGCCGGTTTCGGAGGAAGAGGAAAGAATATTGAAGAAATTGAAGAGCAGCGAGGTGTTTGAGAAAGAGGAAGGCGTAATCGCGCTGAGGAAGATCACGAGGAGCAAAGTGGAGGCTAGGCTCTTGCTCTGCACGCCGCGGGTGCTGCTGGCGCTGCGCGGTTTGATCGCTTCGCGATACGGCGTTGTTCAGGTCAACGCAGTGGCGTCTCTGGTCAACCTCTCGCTGGAGAAGCAGAACAAGGTGAAGATAGTGAGGTCGGGGTTTGTACCGTTTTTAATCGATGTTTTGAAGGGGGGATTGGATGAGTCGCAGGAGCACGCTGCGGGCGCGCTTTTCAGTTTAGCCTTGGATGATGATAATAAAATGGCCATTGGCGTTCTCGGCGCGTTGCAGCCGCTGATACACTCGCTGCGTGCCGAGTCCGATAGGACTCGGCATGACTCGGCGCTCGCGTTGTATCATCTGAGCCTGGTTCAGAGTAACCGAGTGAAGCTGGTGAAACTCGGGGTGGTACCGACGCTTTTGTCCATGGTGGTGGCGGGGAATTTGGCGAGCCAAGTGCTGCTGATTCTTTGCAACCTGGCGATGTGCACGGAGGGGCGCACGGCTATGCTGGACGCGAACGCGGTGGAGTGTCTGGTGGGGCTGTTGAGGACGAACGAGTTGGACTCAGAGGCGATTCGGGAGAATTGCGTGGCAGCGCTGTTTGCGCTGAGTCATAGGAGCTTGAGGTTCAAAGGGTTGGCGAAGGACGCGAGGGTTGTGGAGGTTTTGAAGGAGGTTGAAAAAACGGGAACAGAGAGGGCCAGGGAGAAGGCCAGGAAGGTGTTGCACATGTTGAGAACTGTGGGCGATGGAGGTGATGATGAAGGTGACGAATTTTACGACACGGTCGGGTTGACGCGGAATCGTTACCGACTTGGTGCTGGCAGGAACCACAACATCCTCAACACGACCACGTTTTAGGTTTTGATTTCTTTCTGGTTTAGTTTTTCCACATTATTTGTTGGTTTAGGTTTTGTAGGAAAATATGGTGAAAAGGATGAATAGGAAACGAGTTTACATGGTGTTGCTGGGTGTAAATCATGGAGGTGGTAAACTGGCAATCTCAAACTTATTCTGTTTTATTTCATTTTAGTTTTTAATATTGGCTATTGATGGGCGTTATATTACAATCTGTATGTAATCAGGGTTTAGGTGAATTTTGGGTTGGATACTGGTGTGTACATAATTATACTCGCTGTCTAGTGTCTGCTTTAGTACACAGAAATGAGAAAACAGATATCTGTAGAGTGATTTGTGAATTCACTGGATTGGTTGTGTTTATATATGTAAATGTATAAACTATGAGGACCAACATCTTCAGTTTCTTTTCCTCATTATGCACATGTCATTCCTTTTTAGTAGCTGTTTTCGTTTCAAAATTCAAATGGCAAAATTCATGCAAATATGGCAAATGAAAAAGAATTTGACCAAACTCGATTTATCTGAAATTCATACCTAGGATTCTTGTCTCTGGCAAATGATTTTCTGTTTATGAGCTAAAGCCTGTGTCACTAAATAATAATAAAAATTAATGCTTCTATATGGAAGAACCTAAACTCCTACAGTGAAAGATTGGAGCCATGGAGAGGCCAGACTCTGTAGGCCTAGCTGCTCCTCCTCAACCCAATACCTAGGCTCGGGCTGTTTTGTCCAACTGTACTGCACATTTGGCAAGTTTCTTCGGTTTCCTTCTAGCCAGAAATCTAAGGTGCATGTGCTTGAAACTCCCGTCAATGTACTAAAATTTTTTGCTTTATAGTACACGGTTACTTCACTTACCTTAATCCAATGTTTTTGTCTGTTATTATATTGGTTTCGTTCTCTTATAAACACTCACCTTAATATTGGTATTATGCATAACAGGCCTTAATCTTGATATCAAGTCATACTCCAAATGCTTGGTCTTGTTTTTAATCGAAGACCCCTCCTCCTTTAGAACCTGTAACGTGAACTTCCTTTCCCTTCCATTACTTGTAATAAGCACACACCTCTGACTAGTTTGGTTAAATCTTTCAACAAGTGTTTAAAGTGTGAAGAAAATAAAAATTAAAGAGAAAGGTTAATTAAATTTGTGCCTGGATTTAAAATTAACTCAAACACCTCAACTCATACAAAGTTGAGGCTTATACATTAGTTTTAGTTTGTGAGGGAAGTTTAATGAACATATATGAGGGAAGCTTACTTCGAAGTGGTTCTTAATTAAATACAGACAGGCTCTTACCAAAGCATCCATCTTGCAATTATATATTTGATTGTCAACTGCCTCTAGACTTTCACTTGGTTGGATAATACATTAGATTGTTACAAATTGCATAATTTGGTGATTTTAATGGAGGGTTTGGTGAAATTATATTGTAAATTATGTCTTTTTAAATCATTCCAGGATAAAATTTGTTTTTTGCACAGGGCTGTTGATGGTGATTGCAAAGAAGGATGTAGAAAATGTCGTAGAGAAGGGAGGAAGACTTCCTTTCTTGCCTTAAACTTTCTTCTTTGAGAGAAGAGGCAAATTATGCTAAATAAAGAGTATTCCCGTTGAGGCAAAATAATAATTTTTTAATCTCTTTGACTCACTTTGTTTTATATGTTTACCCTGTACAAATTCACAAAATTAATTGTAATTAAAATGACTGCTTGGTTCTATTGGATTGCAGCTAGGGCTAAATTGTTATTGTATTTTAGTTTCTGAAAATTGAAAACAAAAACTGTTTCAGCTAAATTTTAATGTAAGAGATTAGAAAATATTATCTTAACATGAGATTATGTTCTGATAATTGTACAGTGGCGAGTGCATCTAATGACATGGTTGTATGTTAAATTCCGATGTCAGTCATATCGTTACAGGGTATGATGGATCAGCTCGTTTTAAATACAGTAAACCATATCATTATAAGGACTATTAATGTTCAAATTTTATTTTCAATTTTAGTTTTAGAAATAATTATGGGAAATCAAATCTATAAAAGGGAATGATTAATTTTTCTAATTATTTTTCTTAGCTTATTATGTATTGTCCAATTATAAAATTATTTGTAATCAGAAAATAATTCTTATATAAATTTATAAATATTTAAATTTCAAATAGTTAATAGAAATTAATCAACAGCATCTAATTAACATTAAAATTATGAATTTAATTCATAAAACAATTGTCTGATCCTAAATCGACTTCAAATAGTTAAAATAAACGTCTAATCGTAAATTCAATGTACTTTAAGATAACTTATCAATATTCAATTTTCTATTAGTTAATAGGAGTTAAAATAAACGTTTAGTCTAAATGTGCTTAAAGTAAATTATAAATATTCAAATTCACAATAGTTAATAAAAGTTGATAAACAAAGTTTTCTCCAACAAAATCTCGTTTAGATTTTCTTAATCTGAAAAGTTTATCAAACTGTTCAAAGAACTAGAAAGAATTTAAAGAATTCAAAAATTCTAAAACACAAGTTTAAAAAAAAAAAACTAGATGTTAAGTTATTTTAAAAACTTAGTAGTTGTGTTTGGATGGTTTATTTTCAATCGTTATTTTGCTTATTATTTAAAAGTGTGATTTTTTTTATAAATAAATATTAGTTTTTTAATTTAATTAGGGTGTTTCGCATTTAAGATTTTACGAAAAAATTCATTTGATATAAAAATTACTAATTTTTTGAATTAGTCTTACTCAAATATTTAATGAATTTAATTTCTTGTTCAGTTGAATTTCAATGAGAATTTTGTGATGTTTCATCAAACAAAATAGAAAGGTAAATTAAACTCTAAGTACGAAATTTATTCTTAACAAATTAGTTCTTATAAAAACTATACAATAGAAATATAGTAAAATAAAAATAATAAAGATAAAAATCAATAAAAGATTAAAAACAAAATAACAAAAGATAGAAAGAAATAAATTTATAATAAAATTTTAGAAGATAAAAACAATTATAAAGAAAATAGGTTGATTTCAATATTCTTTTTAAATAGGATTTATCATTGGTTATCTAAAGATTATTGTTCAATTAACTATTGTCTTAAATATTCAATATTCAAATTAATCAAAGTAAATTCTCAATTAAATTGTTCGCGTTCTCACTATTAATCAAAGTACATCCTCAATTAAAAGCAAAAACTTTATAAATTAGTCATACTAAATTTAACCAAAGTACATTCACAATTAAATATTACTATGCCTAAACATGTTTATTTTTTTACCTCTTATATAAAGTAAAAAGTTAATTAACCGAAGTACATTCTTGATTAATTGTTGTTAATGTTTCTACCACTAATCAAAGTACATTCTCAATTGGTGGCAAAAATTCATTCAATCACATGAAAGTTTATAAATTTAATCAAAGTAAAGTCTCAATTAAAATTAAAAACCATTGGACCTATATGATTGATATGTTATGTAGATTTAATATCATGTTTACTTGCTATGATGTAAAAATCATTATTTTTACTTGATTAAGAAGACATAGATAAAAATGAATCAGCACAAGAATCAAAAGAACAAACAAATTTATTCATCTAACTGCAGAATCCAGTTAAAAAATTATAGTTGAATCAATCTAGAGGCTTAACACTCCATGAAATATTGAAATAACATGAAAATAAAAGAAGATAGGGTGTGGAGAACAAGAGAGAAGAGAGAGGACAAAATTTGAACCCTAAAGGGTTCTTAACCTCCCTCAATAAGCTCAACTTATGTGTAGCTACACTAACACGCTTCAAAATATCCAAAGAATATTTATACAACTAAAAGACTATTTTTATCATGTTGTCAACACCCAATTTTGTCTGGTTAAATAAAATTCATCACAAAAATAAATAAATAAAAAGAATAAAATCTCAAAAATAAAAAGTATCAACCATTTTCAAATGATGACGAGCCAGAACTACGTGATCCTTGATTCTCCATCAAGAGTAGAGATATATAGGAACAAGACTAGTCCTTGTCAGGTTCACTTTCCTAAAAATCCAAAATTATCCACAATCATTCCCAAATAATTTCCAAACAATTTTCCAAATAATTTCTCAAACAATTATCCAAACAGATTTTGCAAAAGAACTACACATCCCTGATTTTTCACACGAGAATATGTAATTCCTGATTTTTCACACGAGAATATGTAAGAGCGAGGTCAATCCTTGTCGGACTTAAAAAAAACAAAAAAAATATTGTTTATTTCATATTGTCTTGCATTATTATTTTCGGGGAAAAATAACCATTTGAAAACCACATTAACTTTGTACAGTTAATTAAAGGAACTGTTTTCATGCAGGCGTTGTAGGGTGTTAATACCTTCCCTACACGTAACCGACTCTTGAACTCAAAATCTTGTGTCGGAGACCATGTCTTATTTTATGGTTTTTCTATAATTTTTCAGAATAAACTATGGTGGCAACTTCCAAACTCTGATTTTCAAAGTTTTATTTATTCTTTTAAAAAAGTTCGCCCTCGTCGCGATTCTGATTACGAGACATGTTTTTGTATCTCATTCTCAATAAACCTTGTTATAACAAATCCTAATTAAAATATTTTTTAAGTACAAAAACTAATTAAAAATTCAATATCAAAGGCTAAATGAGAGTATAAATATTCACTCATCACCCATTAACACAATTAGTATTTTTGGCTTTTTTTTTAGTTTTTCCCGTGGAAATGAGAACGCAATAATAATGGATGAAGTGTAATTTAAAGATGGTAAACTCCGAAATGATATGCAGTGATACAAGGATCGCACAAATTACAAAGGAATGTAAAGAACACAAAAGTAAATTGCAAGAAACAAATTACTAAGGAAAGTAAAAGAAAATACTTATAACATAAAGCAATCAGAATGGTGACCCAAATTGTAAGAACAACTTGATTAGCCATTTTTCCTCTTCGTAGTGTTTCTTAGAATGTCTATATTGTTCCACAATTTATTACTTTAGTAAAAGACAAAGTAAACCTATCATATTGTCTAGTCTTCCTTGGACAGTTACAATATTTTGAATTTAAAATTTAAATAAATTACATGCGTCAAATCTTTTTATAATTGTTCTAAAAAACTATCCTTAGCGGTTTTGGAGTCCACATGATTATGTCTCCATAATAGTTGTTGTTTTACTCTTCTTTCTGATTTTCTTTGACCCTTTTCTTTGATTATCATTCATCAATCGATGTCAATTATATTATTTCCTCTCTACTTCGATCAACATTCTAATAAGGGGTAAATAACCTATTTCGATTGCCTAACAGAGGTAAATAGCACACATCTAAGGAGTTACAAACTCGTTTTACGACATTCTTCACTAACACCATCCTTGTAAAAAATTATGTGTTGTCGTCTTTTATTCCTTGCTATTTAAATAAGATTTGACATTCGGTCAAATTATGCGAAAAATCTTTCTAGTTATTTTCAATTCCACATCAACTCTGAATTTCAAATAATTTCTTCCTACTTCTTAATGTCGTCAACAATAATACATAATATTAAAATTGTGTAATGTTTTTGAGAAATGTCGATTTTTTTTAGTTAGTGTTAGTTTTAAACTATTCATGATGACTTGGGTCCATGAACCCATTACAATAAAGGTTTACTACATCATTTGATCCCTACTTTTAGGGGTTTGATTCAAAGTAATCCTACCTTTTAGAAAAGTTCAGTAAGACCCATATTTTGTTAAAAAATGTTCGATTTGGTCATTTCCGCTCATACTGTTAAAAA